CTGCAAGTAGCAGGGAATCCAGCCTTATCAGACCCCAGGCTCGTCTCTTGCCTTCTTTCACCCAGCCCGTCAGAAGGGAAGATCCAGGTTTTGTGGGCCCTCCAGTGTACAGGGTTTTGCAGGCCTTCTTTAAAACAATGGAATACAAAGTTTAGGTATAAAAGTGAATACTTAGAATGAGACTAAGAAAAATAAATCACAGTCAAATTCAAATTTTAAGAACTGACAGATTGATAACCAATAAGGACCTACTGTATAGCACAGGGAACTCTACTCAGTATCTTGTAATAACCTATAATGGAAAAGAATCTAAAAGAGAATAGACATATGTATAACTGAATCACTTTGCTGTACACCTGAAACTAACACAACGTGGTAAATCAACTATAGTTCAATTTTTTTTTTTAAAAAGTAGGTAAAGGGAAAAAAAGAACGAACTGACGGTATCGCAAACAGAAAATGATGTTTTATTAACTAGCTGCCCGCCACGTGCTTCATGGTTTTCTTTCCGTACATTTTTTGTTTTATACTCTTTGATTGCCTCTACATATGTTGCAACGAGTTTGTAATATTTTCTACAGAGAAAGAAAAGAAAATTAGTCCTTCCTGTAATGTATTTGATCAGCTTTGTTTCTATCTTTTTTTTTGGCGGTACGCGGGCCTCTCACTGTTGTGGCCTCTCCCGTTGCGGAGCACAGGCTCCGGACGCGCAGCCTCAGCGGCCATGGCTCACGGGCCCAGCCGCTCCGCGGCATGTGGGATCTTCCCGCACCGGGGCACGAACCCACGTCCCCTGCATCGGCAGGCGGACTCTCAACCACTGCGCCACCAGGGAAGCCCCAGCTTTGTTTCTTATTACTGATAGATTTGAAAATTTTCTTTTGGCTTCACATTTAGTTTTATGGTAATGCTGTGTAAATTTTTAGGATTGTTGTTAAATTTGAGAAAACCATCCTCAAACTTCTTTCATAAAGAAACTGGAAGATTTGGGGGCATTTCAAGTTTTCCTGTGCACTGACTCTTCATAAATTCTCTGATGGTGTGTGGAATTCTAGAAGCCACTTCCACACCAGGACAGCTAGCGATGTTTGGCTATGCACAGAAGTGACTGGGAATCATATTTCCCACTAAACTCAAATTAAAGGTCATCCGGATTCACCGTCCTTTTGGCTAAGTTCTAAATTGCCTTTGGCCATTCCAACACCATGAGGGGGAGTATGGCAAGGGAAGTGAGAGTAGAAAGAAACAGCAGTTTTAAGTGACTGCAACTGAAACATGCTACTTCTGCAAATTTTACAAAAACCATATGAGCACATTGCCAGGGCTCTTTCCGGGACTGTGAAGCTTTGGTTTCATTAGCTCCATGGGCTCTCTGCCTGGTGCATTGGCCCTTCATTCACATGCTTGTTGCCTCTTGGTCATAAGACGATGGATGCAGCTCCTGGCACAAAACATGATAAAGTCAGGAGGAAGTCAAGCGTGCAGGCCAGCCAAATCCACCCCCTCTACAGTGCTTTTCCCAAAGCTACTTCTGGTGTCCCCCACTTACTTCTTTTTTTTTTTTTTTTTTATTGGAGTATAATTTCTTTACAATGGTGTGTTAGTTTCTGCTTTATAACAAAGTGAATCAGCTATACATATACGTATATCCCCATATCTCCTCCCTCTTGCGTCTCCCTCCCACCCCCCCCCCCCCCCACTTACTTCTTACTGGTCAGAACTGGGCCATGTGGCCCCTAGCTGCAAGGGAGTCTGGAAAGGTGTTTTTAAGTAGACGCATTTCTGGGCCCACAACATCAGAGGGCTGTTGGTCAAGAAAGAGGGAATGAGTATTAGGTGGCCAGCTAGCAGTGTCTCCTTCAGCTTCCAGGTTGTTTTCCATGTGTATAGATGGACATATTGTGTGCCTGTATTTTCTTACAAAAATTCATACCGCTCTATAGCATGTCATAATTGATTTAAGTGATTCACCAATACTCAAAAACTAGCAAATGGGAAATTTTTTACCTCAATTGACATGTTGACCATCTTTTACTACAGAATAAATTACGTTCAGCTAAATCACAGGCTGCATTTTTTTCTAATTGTGGTTAAACATGCTGTATTTTTTTAGTATCAGAACGTTTTTTCAAACAGCATCTCCATCCGTAACACAGATGGAAGCTGAGTTCCTTTGGTGAGTAGGGTGGTTGTCAGGAACCCTTTCTCTTCTCTCCCAACAACCCCTGAAGCATTTCTGTGGAAATAGCACATTGTTGGTAGACACACTTTAAGACCTTTCCAGCCCAAAAAGGCCCCTTTGCAAACTGAGGTGCCCAGAGAGTGCCCTGGAGCCCTTGTGGGCCCCTCCGTGGCTCCCCACATGCACAGTGGCTTGCGAGGTGAACAGGAAACAAGCCCTCTGGAAAGAGCTGCTCTGAGACACCGAGCGCCTAACACAGTCGTTCTCGGCCCTCACACCAACCCTGTTCACCAGAGACCTTTCCTCAGGCCTTCTGACGACACACCGTATGGTTCTGCCCACAGGCCTGACCCAGTTTCCTCATCCACTGGAGAGGACAAATACCACCCGCCTTAGATTGTTTCTTAGGCCTGTGAAGTTTTAGGGAGATGGTGTGGCTGACGGGGTTTTCCAAAGGCTGAAACACTCTCAAATATGTGCTGTGTTCTCTCTCCTCTAGGAAGGAGTTGGGAGGGGTGAGCTGGGAGAGACAATGGAACAGGGAGGAGGCAGGGGGCTTGGGGGGGCTGGCAGCCCACACACTCGCTGTCTCCCTCTCCAGCGCCTAAGACTGAGCTTTCCTATCCTAGCCCTCTGTGGAAGGACCCGGGTGTCTGACTGGCATAATGGAGGGGGAAAGAGAAGCCCCGGGTGGTCCTAAGGTACTGTTGAATATTGGCCTGAAGGAACCTGCTCTGGTGATGGGGGCGGACATGTGAATTTGACCCTAGGTACTAGACGGGGACAGCGGGACAGAAGGGACGTCAGAGGAGAAGCAGACAGCAGTGTTGAGTGACGGCAGTTAAAATAGGCTTCTTTTGCAAATTTCGCAAGAGATATTAAGAGAGATGAAGCTGCATATTAGTTCTTATTTGGGAAGCTTAATTACGTTCCATTTCCTCCAAGAGGGTAGGGGCCTCCCCACCCCTCTCACCTGCCTTTCTCCCCTTCACACCCCCTTCCCTCTCCCCCCACCCGCTGACCAACCCCTCCAGCTGGTAGCTGTCCCCCACAGCGCAGGTGAGGCCTAGTGATGCTCTCCCAGAGGCAGTGGGCCTTTTTTTTCTTCTTCCTACCTCAAATACTAGATAAACCCAAATAACTTTTAAGTAAAATCAGGAAATCAAAGACGTAATTCCGGGCTTCCCTGGTGGCACAGTGGTTGAGAGTCCGCCTGCCGATGCAGGGGACACGGGTTCGTGCCCCGGTCCGGGAAGATCCCACATGCCGCGGAGCGGCTGGGCCCGTAAGCCATGGCTGCTGAGCCTGCGCGTCCGGAGCCTGTGCTCCGCAACAGGAGAGGCCACAGCAGTGAGAGGCCCGCGTACCGCAAAAAACAAAACAAAACAAAACAAAAACAAACAAACAAAAAAAAGACGTAATTCCAATTAAAAATTTTTCTTTAGCTTCTTATTTGGAAATAATTCCAGATTCACGGGAAGTTGAAAAAGTAGTACAGAGAGGTCCCGTGCACCCCGCACCTGGCGTCCTCAGTGGTGGCTGTAGCATGTATTGGGCCAGGAGACTGATGTTGGTACAGTCCGCAGACTTCATTCACATTTCACCAATTTTACAGTGATTTCTTCTTTAAACAGTTTTTCTTAATTATTAACATAATATAACCATATTACAGAAAACTCGGAAAATAGAGAGGAAAAAAATTATTCTTGGTTCACTGTCCTATGTAGCCACTATAATCATTTTAGTGTTCATTTCCTTCCAGTCTTTTTGTGTACTTAGCATAATGAAAAGCATCATTTATGTACAATATTATAACCTGACCTAACAATGTTTTAAATAAACATTTTTCTTCATAACCTAGTCTGTATCATTGTACATGGCCATGTAATATTTCCAATGAATATGCCATATTTTACTTAATTATTCCCCTATTACTAGACAGTTAGATTGTTCCAGTTTTACTGTGTAATGATTTTGTAACGTACAGCTTTATTTACCATCTTCCACATTTTGGATTCTCTCTCTAGGGTTTAACACCCAAGGATATGAACATTTTAATGACTCTTGATATAAAATGCCAAATTACTTTCCAAAAGAGCTGTCTCAAATTTCCATGCCACTGACATTTTAAACTATTGTCAGAAGTGGATGGGGTCATTTCTTTAATTGTCACTCACTTAATAATTGGAGAATGATACACTTTTTGTAAAGTTGTAGTTTCTAGTTACTTATAAAGTCGATCATCATTTTTTCTTCTCTTTACTGGTGATACTTTTTATTTTGTGACTTGGCTGTTGGAATTCTTTTCCCAGTCATCTACTTAGTGTTTTACTTACTGATTTGTAAGAACTCTTTATCTAATGAAAATCTTAAGCTTTCCTCTATTATACGTGCTGTAAATATTTCTTCCCAGTTCGTTGTTTACCTGTTAATTTGGTTTATCATTAAATTACTGTGTACGTGGAAATGTTGATTTTTTTATGAAACCAAATCTGTCTGTCTTTTTTCCCTTCTTACTTTCAAAAGTCAGTCCTCTCCAGGGATGTGATAAGTTACTATATCCAGTTGTTTTCTTCTCCTTTTTCCGTGGTTTGATTTTGTTTTTTTTATTTATACTGCTAAATGGTATAATATGAAAACCTAAGCAGATTTTCCGCGAAATTTTCTGTTTAGCTGAATGATCTGTGTCATGATCCTTCCTCACTTATTTGCAAATCCTCTTATTACTATAGATTATTAAATGTAGTGAGTTAGAATGTCTAGGTCAGCTCTCAACCAGATGATTTCTCCAGCTCTGTTTCCTCTTTGCTTCCACCAGATCATGACCAACACGGGGAAGGTGAGGCGAAAGGGGGCGGCCGGCGTGCAGTGGGGCGGCCCTGAGCCCCTGTGCCGGCCCATCACTCCCGGCGGCCACAGGACCGGGTACCCAGTGTAAGTCTGGGTACTAAAGGAGGCGGGGATTTACTTTCTTAAGCTTTGTTTTGATCAACTGCAGTGTAAGATGTACGTATTTTTAAAATTCAAAATAAAATTTCATATCAGAAAGCATTTATCTCTTTATTATTTATCTTTTGAGGATTTTTTGAAAGGAAAGAGGTTGAGTCTCCCTCTTCCCCCCATGTCCCTCAGGGTCTCCAAGCCACTTACAGCCTTTATCCAGGAGAAGGCTGGTGTTGGCCAATGTGATTCTGAAGGAAAGGACCAAAAGGACTAGTGGGTCTACCCAGAAAGGACTCCTGTTCTTTTCTGCAGCCTCTCACCGTAGCACCAGGCCCTTTGTTGGGATGGAGTGTCACAGTTTAAGATGCCGTCAGCTTATTTCTACATGACTCTATAAAGCACCGATATGCATTTTTGGCTGCCAAGCCTTATTCATTCTTCATAGCCTTGCTCCTACCCTGTTTATATAAACAAAACTAGTCTGGTTATCCAGAGCCTCTGGTCTCCCTGGGCACCTGAGGACCTGACCCCTGGGGGCTCTTGGGGAGCCCCAGGCCAGGCAGTCCAGCTTGGTCAGGGTGAAGCCTCTTCCGTGGTCTGGGTGGCCTCTTCTCCTGTCTGGAGAGAACGCTGGAGAGAAACAGGTGCAAATAAGGGGATTATAGAGAGCAGGGGAGAAACCTACATTTATTCATACAACAGTGGCCATAAGATATTTCAAATGAATATGACATATTTTACTTAGTTATCCCCTACAGCTGGGCGGTTTGCTTATTTCCAGGTTTGCTCTATAGTAATCTGTAATGAACAACTCGGCACCGGGGATACAGCAACAAACAAAACGTCACTGCTGTGACTCCTGTTTCCCTTAGGGACCAAATCTAATCAAATGCTGGCCAACCAGTTCCTTCTTAATTGACACCCCCCAACCTCAGCCTCGAAGCCCCACGTTCCCCAGGACACTGTGTGCCCTCCAGCCTGCGTTGTGAGTGCACTAAATCTCTGTAACAAAGCAGCGCACATATATGCTTTTTTTTTTGCCTTTTGCTCTATATCCTGCCCTGCCTGTTCATGGTGCTTGCTACCTCTGCCGGGAAATGTTCCGTCTTCGGGCCCCTGACAAACCCCAGCTCAGAGTTCAAGACCGGCTGAGCCTGTCTGTCTGCCTCTCTCTTACACACACGCACACACACACAGAGGCTTTTCTGCCCCGCACGGCAGTTAGTTGTCTGCTTGTCTTTGCTGCTGGAACTGACATTCAAGAACAGCCGTTTCATGGGGCGCAACCCTAGACAGAGGGGGGGACAAGCCTGCCGTGCTGGAGCAGGTGGCTGCTATCTCCCTGTTGAAGGGGAGTGAGTGCTGTGCTGCTGTGTGCACACTGCAGAACCTTCCTGGGGATCTGCTGTGAAGGCTGACGGGAGATGCCACCCCACATCCTACTTACCTCCCTGTGATGTGCTTTGCCCAGGCCCCCTGTCTCTCGCAGGTGCCCACTGCATGTCTGCTGGGTGAATGAGTCTCCATCGACCCAGGTGCCAGCGGTAGGCACTGCACACACCATTGATAGTGTTCCAGAGAACAAGCTCTTCCCCAGTCCTGTTCCGGCCTAACTCTTGTTGTCACGGCTGACGTATGTCACGTCTTTTCTGATGGAATTCATCCCTTTGCTAATCTGCTTCATCCTTGGAAGAAAGCCCAGAAGATTGATACTTTAAATTGTTTGGTTGAAATGTCATGCTCCCGTGTCACCCAAAGCCAAAAGATCCAATTGTGTGTTAGAAAAATAATAGCCATGTTTCACTGTAAATCTATAAGAGCTAACAAGAGTGAGGTAAGGGCACTTCCTCTTTCTAAAGAGATTCAATATGTGCTAATATCAGTTTAACAAAAGGCTTTCAGGTACTTCCACTTCCTGCATTTTTGTGATGCTACACAGTAGTCAGCAGTCAAATATCTCCCATCTGTATTTATTACTGTTTTTCTTTTTTTCCTCCAGGCTGGAAGACCATCCCATCTCTCCCCAGATGGCCAAACATGCCAGAAACAGCTGCCTCCCGTCTCTGCCAAATGCCCACCGTCCAGTCTGCAAGGGGGTCATGCCTGGTCCTGAGCCTTGCACTTCCTCCTCATGTAAGCATACTGGCAGCATGTGGGGGGCAGCTTTGGGCCTGGGGGCAGCTCTGGGCCTGGGGGCAGCACTGGGCCTGGGGGCAGCTCTGGGACTGGGGGCAGCTCTGGGACTGGGGGCAGCACTGGGCCTGGGGGCAGCTCTGGGACTGGGGGCAGCTCTGGGACTGGGGGCAGCACTGGGCCTGGGGGCAGCTCTGGGACTGGGGGCAGCTCTGGGACTGGGGGCAGCTCTGGGCCTGGGGGCAGCTCTGGGACTGGGGGCAGCTCTGGG